TGAAGTGCTTGTTGCTCAGAACGCTAGCAACGGGTAAGTTCTTATGGCCATGACAAATAGCATGGCTTTTACATCGGTGCTGCTGCGGCGTCAGGTCTCTGGTGCTCAGAACGCAAGCAACGGGTAAACTTTTATGGGCATTAATAGTATAGTTTGTACGTCGACGATGACGTGACGTCATGTGCTTGTTGCTCAGGCACTAGCAACGGGTGAGTTTTTGTAGCCATTAATAATATAGTTTGTAACTCGGTGCTGCCGTGACGTCATGTGCTTGTTTCTCAAAACGCAAGCAGCGGGTACGTTTATGTGTTAGATTTTATGGTCATTAATAGTATAGTTTGTACGTCGGTGCTGCTGTGGAGTCAGGTGCCTGTTGCTCAGTAACGCTCACTGCTGCATGCAAGGAGACAGACTGTTTTTTGAGAGTTCGCTCATAACAAAGTGAACATAACATAACATAGTGATGTCGGCGCTGAAGAGTAGGCCTGATGTGTCCTGTCGCCGATTCTTGTACTTTTCGTGACTCGTTAACACAGAAACCTAAATTCTTGTCTCGTGACCGGATCTTTTCAAGACTGACGATAGTATGAAATAACTTACGTACCAGACTTCCACAGGTTCGATATGGTGCTAGGCATTTCAAGTCTGAATACATATTTTTCCATAGCTTTATCTAGTCTGTTCTTGAACGCGTTCTTACTTGGAGCGCCAACGATGTAATCGATGAGGCTGTTCCGCATGTCGGGGATTCGAAGCGAGAAGAAATGTTGTCGCGTGGATAAGTTGCAGCGCAGTTTTTAGCGCATTTTCTCACTTATGGAAAAAATGCCCTATTGTGCTCGTCATGTCCGTCTGTCTGCCCGTCTGTCCGTCCGTCTGTCCGTCTGTCCGTCTGTCTGTCCGTCCGTCCGTCCGTCCGTCTGTCCGTCCGTCTGTCCGTGACTTCATGTTTTCGTCGACGAGAAAATGCGCTCTCTATCACTCACTGCTGTGAGTAACGAGTTATATTTTTAGTTTACAGCCGTGGCCCTTGGTGTTGGTTCTTGCCTCAAATTCTAGTAATACGTACTTCTCTCTCCAGTTTAAAGTTCTCTCCAGTTTAAAGCGACGCTGCTTTATTGTCTGCAGCGACTAGAGAAGGGAACGTGAGCTGGAAAATATATTTTTAAAATGCGAAAAAAATCCCCAAAATATGTAATCTGTTACCTGGTTTCAATGAGTAAAAATTATACGTTGTTTCTTACTCTAATACACCCAGTTTTCACTTTCCATCATGTAATATGTTCAAAATTTGACTGTCTGAATTTTTCTTCCGGTGGCGACAGAACAACGGGTGATGCTTCAATACATCAGAAATGCGACGATTTTCTCTAAGCGTCCTGGTAATTAGCGAGTGATGCAATATAATGAACGAGTGAGTCTAGAATTTAGGTTAAATTTTGTTTGTCCTATTACGTCCGGAATTAATGCATCCTTAGTTCGGGTAAAACAATTTCTTTCTATTGTCGGTAAATTTGTTATTTTGATTGTAAACTTATTTTATATTTTTAATAAATAAGTAGAATTGACAGAAAGTTATTTTGATTTGGGATAGCATTGTAAACCATTCATTCGAGATCGCAATGAGAAACGAAATTTTTCAGCACAAGTTTTAATTATGAGTTACGAAATCGACTGTAGAGACAGCTTATCATGTAATTGATAGCAATTTAAATTATTTGACTGTTTTTATCTGATTTATCGTTCCATTTTCCTCTAAAACGGGAGCCTTGCTCTATCAACTTTGATTGTTTTGATTGTAAAGGTTCATACTTTGAAGGGTTCATGTTCTTACATTAAAGACACAAATTCTGCCATTAGTAATGTTTCAGATCTTCATTTCGCAATCATTATGCCTTTATTTTTTATATTTCTGTCTGTAGCGGGGAGTTCTCATCTTGTTATCTAAATAAACAGGATCATGACTAGAATTGATTATCACATCTTTAGCGATTTGCCTAAAAAATTTTTAAGCCCTAGGCTTAGGCGAATTTTCCGACACTCATATTTTCAAGAGTTTTATTGATGAGTTTTTTAAAACTACAGTTTCTGCAGGTATGACATGGGAAATGCTAGCTATCTACTATAAATTTTGACATAAGAAAAACGCAATTAATTCCAAGTAAATCATAAAAATTTCACGTCAAATTAATTACGAACGACTAATAAGTTGCAGCTCTAAATTAACTCACCGAAATATTTCATCACTAAGACAGGTATGAAGTACAAGTGACAAACTAACTTTCAGGTAAACTTCTCGGGCGGACGACTAAAGGTCTGAACTAAATGGCCACGTGATGCGTACTTGTGAAATTGCAATTACAAAAATACTGTATATATAGAAGTCGTGATTGAGATACACAATAAAAATCTTGCTCCATTCCTCTAAAAAATTACCTACTGTTCTAATGATTTTATTAAAATAAAAAGAATTGTTTATTTGTGTGATGCTGACAAGAATCTAAATTTCCGTTTCAAATGTTTTGAACTCCGAATGACGATATTTTGGCTAAAATGAAAGTTCGGCATCGGGGAAGAAGTTTAGTCCAAAATATAAAGCTTTAACTGAAAATAATCGCTAAAATCTAATAAACAAAAATTTGTTTTCAAAGGTAAATCTCATCAATTAATTGTTAATTGTGTCAGTGCCGTCAATATTTTCAGCTCATTTCGCAACGAGGTCGACCAAAATATCGTAATAACACTATATTTGAAGCAGGCGAGTTCAAGATATATTTTCTATTTGGCTTCAGGGCTCCCGCTTACTCATAGGAATAAACCGAACCGCTCATTCGGGGCTTCATGGCTGAAATCCGTGGTAAAGTAATAAATGAAATCTTGCACTCAATAACCGTGGAGTTTGCCATTCACACGTGCGGAAACCTTCCAACCATTGAAGAGCTCCGTTCGGCCAACGAGGTTTTCATTTTTCAACAAACAAATTTACTGCTGCTCCGCGTTTTTTTTGTATGTGCGTTGTTGCAAATTTTAAAAACTCGCTGTAGAACGTATCGAAATAAAACGTCATAAATTATAAATTAACAGGCTCAGATTAACTTCGAAATAATTTTTAGATTTCAGATACAAACTCGTGCAAACCTTGCTAACATGCGAAACGCGACGCAAATTTGTTGCAAATATAATTTATCAACATAAACTGCGTTAAATTGACGGCCAAATGATTGAGTATAGTGAGTTGCAGATGAAGAAGTTGTAGTTCAATGCTGATGGTGGAAGACAAGTTAATTTTTATTAACGTAAAATATTTCCTTTAGGATTCAAAATTCCGTGTAATTATTAACTGTGATATAGTTCAATTAAGTGTTTCTGTCTGTCAGAACCTGTGGAAAAATAAGCACTTACGTACATTAACGCGATGAATAGAGCCAATGCTGTTCTTCGTCCATGCTTGCTTCTTCAAAACTCATGACCGAAATAATGCGCTTGTTTATCTCATGTTCATTGTATTCGCATGATGCATTTCAGTCATGAAGACTAACTTTCAGTGTCTCCTTGTAATGAATTCGTTTGTTCAACGAAATTTTAATGAGAAAACTTTGCCCTGATGATATGTATATTTCATGTAAGTAAGTTTACGTAAGTTTATAAGCTTCCGTCCACATTAATTGGGCAAGCCTTAGCTGGTTAGCAATTGAGATAAGACCTATATAAATAAGCCTCAATGAGTCACCTAGCAGCTTTGCTGACGATTGAATTTTCTGCAACACATCAGCGTTCTGTTAACCAAAGATCATGTGAGAACTATTCGAGAATTTTCAATCATAGATCTTGTCTGGACCATACCAGGTATTACATGCCTAAATGACTCTACCACCGAGCCTATCATCAACTATACATATATTTACTGGAGAACCATGCTCTTGCAGGGCGTAATTCATTTTAGGAAAATTTAAGTATCTATCAATAAACTCACCGTAGACTCATTCAATCGTCGTCTGATCTGGTTTTATTCGTCAGCAAATGCACTGTCTGGTTTCTGATATGGTTTGATTCTGTAAATTAAGCGCAGCTCTTACTCAATTGAACATTATTTAGCTAAACTGTTTTCGATTTCAAAGTATACACAATTCTGTTTGACTATTGTTTTTGTTCATTAGATTGAGCACAATTCTGCCATTTTTCAATCATATAAATAATTCCTTTTAAAATCACGCAATTTGTATAACGTATAACTATGGTGCAAATGTCGTTCAGTCCTTCTGCACAAACTTAACATCGGAGAATGAGTATTGATTTCAAAAATAATGAACTTAGTGCTCTGAATCAGAAATATGTGAGATGAGGATGCGTAATGTACGTCACTGAGATAATGTATATAAAAATAGTTTTTTAAACTACAAATAGTAATATATACTATTTGTATAAATATACAAATAGTAATATATACAGCAGATATACTTTATTTCGTGTCATGCAAGATTATGAGTGAACAATGAACATGATAGCTGCATGCCCATAATGTGTCGAGTTGCGTCTCAATTATACCTATCAGATAAGGGCTGTTCTAAAACCTTTTGGCAGTGAGCAAACATTTCAAAGGTTCTTGATGGGAAAACAATCTGCCTGCGGGATACAATGAAGCTGATAGCAGCATGGTGCGCTGGTGCCTAATGGATACTTTTCAGAAGCTTTTGCTCCTGAAATTTACTTGTTTTCATTATAAATTTTTTTTGCCGTGTGTATAAATATTCATGTGTATAATGGATGTAATGTTTTATCATGTTAACTTTCTTGTTTTCTGACGTACGTGTACCAGCTTAGAAATGCTTTTACGAGAATCAACTTAATATAAAATATAAACCAATTCATTTACTCGCTCAAGACGCTGTTCGACTTCGCCAAACTAATATTTTTCTACTCGGAGCTGACGAGTCGGCAAAATTGTACTTTTTATTTTAGAAAATTTTATCCTGAACTTCCTCGAGATCTTCCGAAAGCTTTTAAGCAACGATGTTGCTCAGCTGTCGAGCGTCCCAGATGTGCAGAAACTTCAACAAACCTTGCAATGCATTCACCAACTTCACTTTAAGCAAACCGTATTTTGTGTAACTTCTTTCAGCTAGCACATCAGGAAATAAATGCAAAGTGCATGGCAGCATTCACGCCAACAGACGCTTCCATGGCAGGTAATGAGAAAACTTGGCGGCAGTAGCATTGTTCGGGGATGCGCGCTTCTATTTCAGTATCGTCGTGATCGCTTCGGAAATTCTTCAGGCCTTTCAAGGCTCTAGGGTGAACTTGACTACGTTCACTTGTTGGAGTCTAAACTGCAAACTTCTCGTGTGATCTCACAGGCGTCATTAACCGAATATGATGGGCACCTTTGATGATGAATATTATGGTGACCTTTCAATTTTCAAGAAGCAACGGATTTTGATACGTCGTACCAGGCGCATTAATTGTCAAGCCAATTTGTCTTCCACATTATGGTTCCGTTAAACACATAATCTTAAGCATTTAAAAAATTCATATATGCTTGAAACATATAGGACATATTTGCTATAATCAACTTGAGGCCTTTTAAACATCAAACAAAACAACCCTTTATTAAATTTTTTTAATAGTTGCAGAGCGCTTCGGTGGCTTGAGCGTTGTCATTGACCCTATAGTTTGCCTAGACACCTGGTATTTGTGATCTCTTTGAAATGATAAGCGGAATATTAGCTGCTATTAAGAAAAGAAGGAGAAAAATTCATGTTCAAAGCTCAGTCAACATGAATATAACGATACTATTAACGGCATTAATAATGATTTCAATAAATTGCTTGTAGTTTTACCTTTATCTCTAATCTACTTAATCAAAAGACATTCTGATCAGCCTTATAGTCATTCAGTGTCTGTTCAGACTTCAAACTATATGTGTTATTCCTCCTCAGAAAAGGTGATTCCTCAAGCTGTGTGAGTTATTCAGCGCCATAGTCAGAATTCAACATCGGAATCTGTGATACAGGACTCGAATATTCATCGGGCCAATTGGTCTTGATATAGTGAGCGTTGAGAATTTGGTATTCTTTTTTATAAACAAATGGATTAAAATTTGTAGAGTCAAAAGCACCTCCCAGATTGATCTCTGTCAAGGTCTTGTAATATTAAACTATTCATTGCTTGATATATAATCGTGCCGAGAGCTTCGAATGCCGCTCAATAGCATGCTGTCTACTTCAACAACATATAGTGTATGTAAACTAAAAACCAGAATGTTCCCTTACCCCCCTACATTTTAATATCAATATCAATAAGCTAAACCCTCTTACAACTGGCAAGCCAATGTCGTGGTGTTGCAGCGTCCTGAAGAGGAACTGTGGCATCGCCAGCAACAGCGCGCACGCCCAAATGCCCGGTAAGGTCAGCAGCGCCCCCGAGGTGCCCAGCGCGCGACGTGTCGGGTGAATAATTACCTGAGGCAAAGAATTATGATTGCTATCAGTTTTTTCAACACCAAATAATTATTAGTGTGCATTGCAATAATTTTGATCGATTGTAGATGAAGAATGATTAATTTCATCATTAGGAATGTTTAATTTAAGTTAGTTCTTCCAATATATCGAACAAAACTGTGCAGCAACATAAAATATACTTCAATTCGGGCAAAAGATTACAATCTTCCTTGCAGAAGCTCACTCATGTATAAAGTCATAGGAGCTTCTACTGAGTCTTGTAAAATTTGCAACTATTAAACAAGAGACCATTACAGGCGAGTAATAGGATATATGTAGAACAGCGCTTTATCTTCGATATTGAAGGCCGGTATTGCCAGTCATATCGTATTTCAGTCCTTACGATAGGAAATTGAGTTTCGTTCTTGGATGCAAGAAGCTGTTACGAACACAAAAAGCCTTCGCTTATTTGCATCGTCAATCAGTTCTGACTTTCTAATAAAGGTTGCGACCAAATTTTGGACAGAAAGGTCTAAACTTGGGTCAATTGGAAGGTTGAGAAAGAGACTCGTACTCATAACAAACCTTTTCGATTATGTTTTCATAATATCATTATACTCGCATACAGCGGTTGAAAATATATCCTTTTAAATGTAGGTTGGTAAAAATTAATTTCAATAAATCAATTATTATACTGTTCAAACGCATCCATTCAAGAAATTCTCACTTTTGGAGCAAGCCATTGATTTTCTTCAACAGAATTGCTACGATTCGAATTAATGGCCCAGAATATCCGTGTCATAGTACGGTCATTAATCGCTTCACCAGATCTAATACATGGCTATACAGTATATACCAGGTAGATCATACAGCTGCACATCTGAACACTTGCAGCCGCAGAGGCATCTGCTGGCTAGGAAAAAACTGAAAAGCAACAGCACCAGAACATGTGTATAGAATACTATTGACAGGAATGAAATAGTACAGTCTTTCAGCCTTTCATGGATGACTATTTCATTGTATTATTATTTCGGAAGTGATTTTTAAAAACCAAATTAAGCTGCATAATGAGACTCGAACGACTTAACAAGTGGTTGCCCAGACAAGATTCCCATGCGAAAGCAAAAATATGATTGTTTCTGAAACACGGACTAGAGAGTGCTTACAACATACAACAGAGTGCTTTCAGAAGAATTTTTTAGAACTTACTAAAGAACTTACTAAAGAAGAACTTACTAAAGGGCAATCTAAATTTGCAGGTACCAGTACAACTTAGAATCATCACCCAATTAAACTGTATTACTAAAGTAACTCCCACTCACATGATAACGATCGAGTGCAATAGCCGTGATGGATATGGTGGAGACGAAGATGGACGTGGCCTGCAGAGTGCCCACCAGCTTGCACAAGAAGGGGGTGTCCCCGAGCGGCCAGTATTGAGGGACGATCTCGAGCAACGTGAGTGGAGTGGTGGCCAGACAAAGCACCAGGTCTGAGATGGCCAAGTTGATGATGAAGACATTTCTGGCGGTCCTCATGGCGGGCTTCCTGATGACGGCGAGCACGACGAGCGAGTTGCCTGCCACACCCACGGTGATGACGGCGCCGTAAACGAGCAGAAGAGCGGCGAGCAGAGCTCCGTCGAGCCGTAAATTGCCCTCGAACTTCAGGATCAAGTCAAAGTTCAGGCCACCGCTCGCGTTCCACAGAACGCTCAAGTTGCGCGACAGGTTCAAGTCGCTCGCGTTCATCTCTCTGGCCTGCCTGTCTCCCAGAAACATGGCCACGCTCGGCGGCAGCGACATGTAGCCCGGAAAAATGTCAATTTTTTCGTCAGTCACGAGTGCCACTGAATGTCACAAAGTAAGTTTATACTGGTAAACATGTAAAATAATCGCTTCCTCGTGATAGTGAAAAGTACTCAGAAAGTGAGTAATAAAAGGTTATAGGGAACGATTTACAATTATTGATAGAACTGCATCCATCATAGTTCTCTGCTATAGGTAGACGAAATTGATAGCCCGCTGCAGGATACAAAAAATTACACAATTATAGTTCAATTAAATGATTACAGTGAGAGCAGAAGTAGTGTCGAATTTGTGTAGAATTAACGTTTCTGCATGGCTCCAGTTTAGGGGAACAAGGCATCGAAACGAATTGGTTCTTAATTAAGGGATTTAAGCAATATAATAATTACAGGCTATAATAAATTTCATGACTGTAGCTAAATAACTTTGAAATGTTGACACTTGCTAAAAATATTTTTACCATCAGACACTTGTTTCCAGTTTCACATCTGGAGGAGCCATATCGCCTTTAAATTATATTAGACTTTTAACTCAACCCTTCAGTTCTCTGGTTACGGTATGACTACAATAGATTAAATAGACGACCAACGTCTTTCAATGTCCTTATAGTTATACTTGCACTGATAGCCATAAAATAGCATACCACAATAATGAGGAACACCGATCGTAAGAATGTAACGTACTAGTGGGGGATAATTTTAGACCATGTCTTTGCATTTGCTCAATTAGGTAACATATAAATTATTTCAAATAATATAGTTTGTTAGTTTCTACTTTTGGAAGTCGTCAATTCGCGATGTATGGAGCGATCATACAAGTTGTTTGTCTGAATAACAAAATTACCGGTTGCGTATCAAGAAATCAGAACAATTTCATAATTATTGCCCAATTTTCCGTGAAGATGAGCCGAAAAGTTTCTGAGCTCGCGTTCATCGCTGAGGATCATATATACTAAGTTTTTTAATTTAATTTTACCCAACTTCAATACCAGTAATATTGCTGAGTTACCACGCAAGCCGGTCAAATACCGGTACTCAGTGAAGTTTTCTTTTAAAGGACATTTTTATCAAAGTTGCTGTATGATCATATCATGATTGTTATGATCCCACCCGATGTAATTTAGATCGCTTATACATACTCGTACACATAGTAAGCGACAGTACACGAGTATAAATACAGAATATATAACAGCTACACTCTTTTCAATAGGGTTGTTTGTATTGAAAGGCTTTACGTTACTTTATTCGTAACTAATCCAAGTTAATTTTTGAAGAATATTGCTGATATCGTTCGACTACTGCTTGCACGGTGCACATAAAGAATTTCACTACGTTAATTAAATAAAATTCATACAATCTTCTATGCAACTCATCAGTGCGACAATACTTCTCGCTTCACCAACACAAACTCCACTCACTTCGATTCACAAACTCCCTGCTAGCATCGTTGGCTCTCCGAGCATGAACGCGTTCAAGAACATACTATGTATATGAAACGATGCAGAGATATTTGTTTTGATTAAAAATGCCTCCCGCCTCCTAGACTGGTGGATGATCAGCAGCTACTTGGTTTTAATATCAGCTATGGATAGATCTTGTCAAAAGGTCAGTTCTCAGATCTCAGGGTGAAGAGTAATGAACAGAATAAGAATTGGTGACAGGTCGAACTTGGCCTATTCATCAACGCTGAGACAACAGTAATATACCATGCCAGTACCACACTTCATCCGATACGTTTGTAAAGAGTGCCTTAATGCTTAACTCAATCACTGCGTCAAGTTTATATCTATCACAAATATCAGGTTACATTCTAACGCGCGTCACTTCATTGCATTTGATATAATGATAGGCGGTTAAATGCTTGCAGTTGCGTGATCTACAACTAGAACGAGGCAAGGCGTGCGTCGGCAAAAACAGGCTCACATACTCTCACTAACGTTCACTCACTTTAATAATTATATTATCAATGTAACAAATACTTGATTTAATATGGGGTGCATGTATAAAAGAAAATTGCATATTTGTGATACATTTTATATTAAATAAAACTCCTTGCAGTTGATACGTTAAATATTTCTTAAACGAAAACAATATACTTGTCAATCCAAATTATTGTTGCGGCACACAAAATCTTATAAAGTTTTATCAGTCGTAAACAAGTTTCCTTATTAATAACAATTGTAACATATGAACCACTCTTCATTGCAAATAAATTGAATTTAAACCCGAGAAACAGTTTTCAGCGGCGTGAAATTGAAAACTCAAATAACTGTTGGACAGCATTCTTAGTTGCCCTGAGCAATTAACTGCAGGTCTGCACACATTCATTTGGAAGCAGCAACATTTAATCATCACGTTTTCAATCAATTCATTCGAGTTTTACTTAAACAATCAATGAAGAGCTATAAAAAAATAAGACAAGGTAAGACAGCCCTAAAACAATCATTCTTTATAAGTTATCAACACTCGACTGTGCGGGAACTATAGTAATTATACGTTAACATTCACGTGTTTAAATAACGGATAAATTTCGAATTTTAAACAAAATTTTCTGATAAAGATCCAAATGTAAGTTCCTCGGTCTGTTCAAAAAATCGTAGCCCCGCTGTTCACTGAGCGACTCTTCGTCGCACCACACCTACTCCGACGCCCGGCCTTGTATGACTGACGCGACAGTTAGACGCCGGCCAGGCTTTCTCCTCTGTCACCAACTTCTTCAACTGGAGTGAGAAGTCAAGCAATGAACTAAATGAGTGAAGGAAGCGTCACAACATGAGTACCTCGAAGCAAAGACTTCATGGCCAGTGGAATCGAACCAGGAAGTTGAATCAAACCTCAATTAAAATATAATATAAATGGAAACAATTCCCGTACATTTGCTTATAGCTCATTCCTACGGAGGTAGCTTCTTATTGTGCATTTCTTGCTAGTTGCCAACATCTTTTATAGCCTAGAACTTTGTCCTTTCCCTAGTACTCACATTACAAGGTTGAATATAGTTGAGCAAATAACTATCGACGCAAATGCTTGAAGTACGTCTTTGCATCATGAGTAATTGCATCCAAGTTTGTCCCTTCGCTAAACATGGAACTTCATAATCCCGTTTATCAATTAGATTATAGTGAAATGCAACTAGTTTAATGGTGGACCTCAGGGAAAACGTTTATAGCGAGCCTCGTGTGTCATGATTTCTTCCTGAAGGAAAGAGTCAGGAGGTCAGCGGCCAGGTAGTCGCCACGTTAATACGAGCCATCTACGGGCCTGGCTCCCCCGACTGCTGATGGCAGGAGGCAGGAGGACAACGGCCAAGAACTGGCCACGTCTCTTATTACGAGCCATCCAAGGGCCCGGCTCTGTCTCTTATACACATCTAGATGTGTATAAGAGACAGCATCTACCCAGTCTATTTCTGGATGGTTAAAGTCACCAACGATCAACGTATGCGACCTGCTGAATGACATGCTCGGTAAAAGGCTGTTTAGTACTTTATTGTTATCAGAGGAGCTGTTAGGTGATCTGTAAATGACCCGTATGAGAAGGCTATGAGAGACAATGAGAGACAATGTCACATTGCAAATTTTATAATTTTATATCCGGCAAACTCTGTGTTATTCTCTGTGTAACATGAATCCTTTAAGCTTGGCAACAAAAAATCTTAAGACTTTTTTATTAATAAATATAAATTTGTTAGTAAATAAAAGAATAAATCTTTGACAGAAAATCATCAGTATCATCCCATATACATATAGAAAAATTCTAGCATAAAAATAGATCGCATAATACTTTAAAGAACCGGTAAAAGTTTTGAACAAAACGGGCTAGCTTCTCATTTAGGAGGCAATATTTTCTTAATATGAAAAAAGTTTTGATTTGAAGGCGAGCAACGAGTACACGAAACAATAAAAATCGCTACATCGAAGCTCTTCTGAAATATGGCGTCGCCTGGACCAAATAATTTCATACAGGGAATTCGCACTAATTTATTACCAGTTTTCGAAGGTTATATGTTTTTAGCGCATTTTCTCATTTATGAAAAAAACGCTATTGTGCTCATCATGTCCGTCTGTCTGTCTGTCTGTCCGTCCGTGACTTCACATTTTCGTCGACGAGAAAATGCGCTCTCTGTCACTCACTGCAAAGAGTACTGAGTTATCTTTTTATAAGTTCAAGGTATATAAATCTAAAAGCAAAGAAACCGCGAAGTAAATTCACCATATATTCAACGAAAAATTCTCGAAGACCAGTTCCATCTTTAGTTCAAAGAGGTTAGATAGAGATATCTAGATTACTCCAACCAAGGCTATACCCTCGGGCCATGCATAGAATGCAGTGCAATATCTCACCAAGGCGAAGACATTACCGATACGCATGACAAGTTTACGAGAATTCTTGCAAAGCAGCAGGCGCTGCTAGAAAAATTTACGGTGTGACCGAAATGTCGCCCTCTGTTACCTCAGATAAAACTCTTTACCATTACGAATAAACATGATGAGGATTTTGGGTTTCATTTATACCTGCAGGGAAATTTTCAGGAGTATTTTCACTGAAAATTATATATTTGAATATTAACACTTATTATATTATATATTAACACAAATTTTTCATCTCATATACATTCAATCAGGAAACAAAAGTTAATAAACTTCCAAATGTATGGCCTTATAATTACTATAAACAAATTGTAAAAAACATAATATAGGTTTTGAATATCACTTCAAAGAGCTTGTGCCCTTGATAAAATTTCGCTTTAAAATAATATTTGCAAGATAATGTTGCGAAATTAAAGAATGACTATTAAGAAGCAGTCCCCGCACTCCTACAGGACCAAGCAACAGCTTTCCGAAGCAGCTTCTATTAACCATTCAATTCACAAACGTTCCATTTGAACTGCTATTTAATCTTTATGTTGCACCACAGTTTCCAGATTTGTTTTCATAATCATAAATTCAAAATATTTTGTTGTGCAGGATACTTATCCTCTAATTAGTTTAGGACTTTTTTCACCTATGAACGTTTTGGCACCCTCGACATATATGAGTAAACGTTTCCTGTATTAATTTTCGCCATAAAGTCCATTACGGTTTTTTCACCACGCACAAGTAAATATTTGAATGCGCGTTACTTAAACTATACTAATGGAAATAGGTTAATAATCTTTTATTGGTTATAGATGAACTGTATATTTTCATCAGCTGATAATATAATGGTTATATTAATCTTTGAAAATAATTAATCAACCAGTTTGTTTCATTTC